GCATAGCATGATGTATAGATATATAATGGTTAGTTTAGTGCAATAAAATAAATTTTTAAAATGTTGACATTCCAGCACGTTTTGGCCATTATCTCTGAACATGATTTCCGACAAGTGACTGATTTGGCTTGTCTTTCCACATATTCTGAGTTGAATTATTTAAGGTAATCATGTTTTTGAGGCACATTATATAAAGGTATTTTTCAGAATTTATAAGAAAACAACACAACACAATTTTACTTAACCTTAGAACATTATTCAAAGACCATAATAAAGCTATATTCATCAATCTAAATATGTCAAAAACTAATTTTTTTATTTTTTGTACAAGTTTGTCACGACAGCTCACAAATGTCACGTATTACTATTTATTTTTATCTCTGCAGATTGGATATAGTGATCTGCCATATAAAAGATATTAGATAATATATAAAGCATATCAAAGTAGTAATAATAACAGTGCTTAAATACTATGGGCAAATTTATTAATTGTATGAAGCATCATCAATCATTATTATTTTAATTGGATGAAAAAAAGTATCTATCGATGTGAGTATCAAACAAAATACCAAAGAGACTTGTAGCATATAGATAGGCGAAGATGGAAACTTACCAGCATAGCTGGCAGTTGCTCCTGGAAAATAATATTTGAATTTGAATAGTTATTTCTGCACTGTTTATTATTATTTATTTATTTATACTGATTTGATAGTGCTATCCAACACACACATACACAATGTTGGAAACAATGGCTGGATCTCGGTAGAGAATGTGAATATTTAAATAGTAAATAGTACATAAAGGTGTAGCCTACGATGTCCCATCATGTCCTTATTTTTAACACTGTATATGTACTTTTAATAACTTATAATATATTATATATATATAAATATATTTATATATATGTATATATATATATATATATTTCATTATAGTCATTTATGTTAATTTTTTTTCCTCAATTGTTTGCATAGTGATAATTAAATTTATGGTGTTAACAAATTAAGGAATATTAAATATTGTATTAACATTTTTGTTCATTTTTTCTAGGCTTTTATAGTTTATTTTTATTTATAAGTTACTAATAATAATCTCTTGACATTTCGTCTCGTAAATACAAATAAAAAACTTATAGTAAACATGCTTTTTCTTTTCAAGCCCCCTTCATATGGAATTCCTTGCCGCTTTTTGTTCGCGATTCGTCTAATTTGCTTTTTCTTTTTTTTAAATCTTAAAACTTACCTATTACTGGAACGTTAACTTGCTTTATTTTCCCACCTAGCGCCTTTGATAATGTTTTGAATGGCGCTTTATAAATGTTTGTTATTATTAATTTAATAATAAGAACAAATATTTAATAAATAAATTTTGTATAAATATTTTATCTTGACTTTTCATAGTTATATTGGCAAATTCCATTTATATTTCGTGTATTAATGTTGAAATTGAAGTTGGAGGGGCACATCATATCCGGTGATAGTAGTTTTTGTACCGCTTTTGGCACTCCTCAGCCCTCCTCTTTCTTGGTTGCTTTTGCTCTGTTTGTTGTACTTTTACTGTTTGTACTGAAAGGAATAAAATAAAATAAAAATAAAATATATTGGGCCTTGGTTGGCCTTACCTAATTTTCCTGGTCCACACTAACGAGATACTACACAGGACACTATACTACAGATACTTTACTCATGTCCAGTGTTGTATGAAAAACACTTGTTATTTTATAAACGTTTATATTAGTTGGGGTGACTTAGTTCAATAAATGCATCGCTGGCGTGCAATACCGATTTGCAGGCTGCATTCATGCTTCAAAAAAAGTCGAGAGCTGCCGAAAGTGCGAAGACGATACAACAAACAAAGTAGACTGGTTTTGAGTCATATATTGTAACAAAATCCGTCGAAAATATGGCAGATGACGATGATATGGGAGAGTAAGTTAAAATACACAGAATTTTATTGTTTTAAAAACAGTGTAAACAAGTCTTATGTCCGTGTTTTTCCGTGCCTAGCTTAGGTAGGACTAGCCTAGCCCTAGGCCACGGCAGAAAAAGCCTAAGCCTAGAAGTAGCCCTAGCAGCAGAGCATGACAATTCTAGCCGCCGCTAGTCCTAAGTAAAGGCGCTATCATTTAATTTGTCAATGTCGTATTCTTTTGTGTGTAACACTAAGTTTATTCAAGTAAAATTGTACTTTTTACAGATATAAATAAATTGATTATTTAAGGATATTTCTTGGTTGGGTTGTTAGAATAGATTAGAAAGAAGGAAATAATATTATTAATAGGCTAGGCCTAGCCTAGGCTATAGAGGTAGACCTGGGATCCTTTCACTGACTGTTGAGGGAGGTGGAGGTGCTATGAATGTTATATTAATTAAGCCTAGGCCTGTGTCAAGGATGTAATTATATCAAGAAAGAAGTCTATTAGTTAATGCATGTGTTTGAATTCTTTTATATATTTTACTTAAAGTAATAATTCGGCCTAAGGCTAATAAGCCTTTATATTTTAAGGAACAAAAATGACTAAATAAAGCAAAGAAAAAAAACAAACAAATGGTGCTAAAAATGCACAAATATTAATTCAAAATCAAATCGTGGGAGCCTACCAAAAATTGGCACTGACTGGCAATGATAGACAATCGAACACAATTTTAATTGTTGTATTTTTTTTTTCTTCTATTCAGGTTCAATGACAATTTTGAAGATGTTGTGGATGATGAAGAAATGAATGATATACAAAATGATGGCGTAAGTTATTATAGTTGTTGTCACATGGCCGGCGGAACCGG